ATAAAAACAAAAACACGGAAGAATAACCTACACTGGTGCCAAAACTGCATTAGTCATGCCAAACTCTTAAAGATGGAAAGCTCAGAACAGGACTAAGGTTTTACCTGGAATTCCAGTCTTAAGTTTCAATAGAACTTTTGTTTCTGAGATTTAAGAACTTGTTATCAATTCAGTACATTTAAAGGTGCACAGCATTACCTTTATTATGCAGGAAAAATAAAAATTTCTGTTCTTCCAAATTGTACATAAAATAAAATAGTTATTAGTTAATGATAAATAACATACCGTGCAATGTATAGCACTTTATTCTAGAACTATCTTGCTCTAATGGCCCTATAAATTTATATTTATATATGGAAAGTTGGCGTTTTAACTTTAAGATTTTTAAGTATCTCCATTTGTTGACAAAATAGCATAGATGATAAATGGAGATGAAATATAGATAAATATAATTATTTCCCATTCTCTTCATTATAAGTTAATTGTCAAGCAAGCCTATTCTTAAAACAAGTATACAAAAGACGTTCTGTTTTGAGCCTTTTGAGATGTAGGGGCCAGTTACAATCTTCCCAATTTTAATGGTGTCCAGAAATGAAGGCAGAAAGCCTCATCAATTTCATAAAATATGTTAAGTTGGAAAGTGACTAGAATCATAGCTGACACTGACCAAATATATTTGAAGTACTAATAAAATCTTTTAAGGCTAACTTTATTAATCATGATCTATATTTCATGGTGTCTTTTAAAACACTACCCTTTCAAATGTTTTAGTTTTCAAATATGTATATATTCAAATATGTCTTATATGTAATTATATTTTAACTACATGTCTCAAATACATATGTATACTTAAGTATATCACAGATACATACATATATTTTTAAGTATTTATGTATGTCTCATGGATTTGGTCACAGCCGTACTTTTTATTTGCCACAGTTTTATTTACACTATGGTATATGCATTGAGGAAAACCACCAGTTTCTGAAGAAATCATGAATCTAAATATAAAAAAAGATAGAAACTAGAAAAACAGAATGTGCTCGATAATGCCTAACACTTCAGATGTAAGGTTTAATTGTTTTCTATTATTTGTGAAAATATAACAACTTGTTATTATTATAAAAGTGTCAATTATAACAGAGTAAAATCATTTACATTTTAAAGTTGTGGAAAAAGCACAACTACAGCACATCTGTTCCTTACATTTTATAATGCACAATGCCTAGAGAAAGGTAACTCATTAGTTAATTGAAATGGAGTATGTAAAACATCATTTAAACTGCCATTAGTGCTTAGCATATTTTAATGTATTTTTTAAATCTGTGTTTTCAAAACAACTAACTGAATTATATAATTATGTATCTGGAGAAATGCAGTACAAATAGCATTTCTATGTGAAATAAATTTCAGGGATAATCCCTATGCACAAATTAATCATCCAAGCCTAAGACATTATATGTATCAGGCACAATGCAAAGAATTTTGTTTTTGGATTTATTGTTAACTCTCACCATTCCTCAAATATATGACAACTTTTGTGTCACCATGAATCTTAAAATAAAATTTAAACATTGAATGGGCCTATCTAAAGAAACTGTCTTTATTATTGAGCTGTACCTCATTGGTCAGGCACAACTTTGCAGAATCTAATAAATGTTTAAATGGTTATGAGTCCCCACAAGAGCTAAACATTTTCCTACACTGTGTAATGTACTACTTGTATTAAACCCTTTATTTGATATTCATGCTAACAAAACAGGTTTTTTCTTTTCCTGTAATACATGCTTATGAAGGATAAATAGTATAGCTCTAATGTCACAGATATTTTAATTATTAGAATTTTCATAATTCACTTTGTTATTGAAAGTCAAGTTAATCTCTGGATTGTGTAAGTGTGAATATTAAAACAGCTACTGCTGTTGTTGTTTTTTCTGTTATCATTTTCCTACATTAAAAAATAATCATTACTTAGAATATAAGACTAAAAATTCTATATCATTACAAAGACTCTAAAAGGGGGAAGTTTTGAAAGTATGGAAGTGTTAGTATTTAAACATTATGAAACTTTGGTAGCCACATTTAACTTTGCTCCTTTTGAGTTTAATCGCCCTGTCCTTTCCCATGACATCTTGCTTGTACTATGCTTTATACTAGAGATCTGAACTTCTTCTGTCTCAGGGTATTTGATGCTCTGTACCTTCAATTTCAAAGAAGCTTCGTGTGAGTGCCCTTTAAGTGCATGCTGTGGTGGGGATCCCTTCCTTTTCTAACTTTTTTTTCTAACTCTTCTTTCCCAGATTGCTGTCCTCAGGTTCCTAGAGGATAATTGACTGAGGCAGGTTGTAGAGGAATTTCTCGATATGCTTTTAACATATAACGTAGTGAATGAGAAAAAAGCCCGCATAGCCACCCCTCAGGCTCACAGAATGCCAGCCTCTAAGGAGATAAAAATGACTGTTCTTGCTAGTGACTCTTGCCTGCACCATCCTACTGCAATGCAACTGTTCATTTCCTAATGGTTTAGCTTTAGATTTGTACAACACAAACGGAAAGGATAGCCATGGATTTTGTCAGCCACTCTATATAGATGAAGTATGTTTTTCTCAGTCCTTTCTGACAACCCTTCTAGTTGAGGGACCTTACACCCTGCAGATATTTTTTTATGTTTATTGGACTAATTGCGAGAATTCCAGTTTGAATAAAACCTTAATGCTTTCAGGATCCAAGATCAACTGAAATGCTGAGGGAGTATAGGGAGGAAATTTGTCATTGCACTTTGTACTTCCACATTTAATTTCACAGCACATATTGAAACCATAAAGAGAGAAAAATCAAAATATATTCCGATCATATAGGAGGAATACACTTCCCACCCACTTTTTTTTTAATTCTTAAAAAGCCAAGGGTGTGGGTAGTGGCAGGAAAAAAAGCCTTAAGATCTAAGTTATGGATGCCAACCTGCCAGTAACTAAAGCTCTTAGCAGCCATGTACCCCAAGAACACTCAGCGCCTCTTTTCAGGGTTAGTTCCCAAATTACAGGCAAAGGACCTTACCGTCAAAGACTTGCTACAGGTTCCAGCTCAGCCTCAGACTGAAAAGCTGAGCAGCTGGTGAACAAAAGTTTTAGGTCCTTTTTTTTTTTTTTTTTTTTTTTTTTCCCTAACGAAGTCTGCAAAACTAATTTCCCTCAAAATAGGGCTCAATTTCCGTTAAAGAAAGCAGTGCTTACAAATCTTCGAATTCCTGATCAACCCCCACTCCACCGCATCTCTAAGAAGTGAAAAACAATTCTACTTTTCACACGGATGTGAAGGTTTGTTTGGAAGTCGCCTTCTGGAGAACCTCTTAAAATAAAGGGCAGCAGACTAATACCAGGACAGGCCAAGGGAAGGGTTCTGCCTTGGGGACACCCCCTCCAAAATTAATCAATACCTTTCCCTAATTTAAACCAGATGTCTAGTTCAGGTTGCTGTACTCATTAACCCCATTAGCAATTTCAAAGACTTGGCCATCATCTTCTGGTCACTCAGACAATAAACATACGCAGTTAACCATAGTGGCACACTCAGAATGTGGGTAAACGACAGGACCCACAGTAAAGTCCCTAGGCTAGTGGCTGTGTCAAACCCAGCCTATCCCCAGCTCTCCAAAATCCACCAGTGGCAAGTTGTGTAGTTCTTTTCCAGGAGGAGACTGTAAACTGGGGGAACTGAACAGTCCTAGCAGAGAGAACTGGAGAGTGTTCAGTGTGGTGTCTGCTTACAACAGACAAGCGGTGAGAAACAGAAAGGGTGAAAAGAGCACCTCAGACAGAAAAAGACAATGTTTGTCCGGAAGGATTAGAGGGGGCTGTCGATTGGCTCCTAAAGAGTTAAACTGGGAGCACATTTCATTTGACATTGCTTCAGATTATCACTGACCTAGGAAAACTTTCGGTGAGCTAATGGTTAGGAAATTGAGCGAGCTGGACTAGTAAAGAGAGGTGGGAGGAGGGTCTGAAAAAGGAGGAAAGAGACACAAGTTGGAGCAGCACTTGTGTGATGCCAGGGCATCAGAAATTGAGTCCATCTCTGCTTCAAGCTTTCCATCCCTCACTCAACCAGGTACCTTTCTTTTCCGCACTTAGAACAGCTTTATGCTATCATTGGGGCACAGCCCTGAAACTTCCAACCTGGCATCAGTTTTATTTTATTTTATTTTATTTTATTTTATCTTTAACAACCTATCCTCAGACAACTGAAAGGGGAAAACCATGTTGCGCTCCCGGGCGCGGGAACTGCGAGTATCGGAGTTTGAAAAGCTAGACTGCTCTAGCCTTTTCCCTTCTCTTGAATTCTCATAAGTTCTCCTGGTCCGCAAGGTCAGGGAGCAGTTCCGGAGCTCCTGCAGGTGACTCCCACCCCTACCCCCACCAAGAGCTGAAAGAGACTCGGGACGGGACACTTGGTGCTGGCTTAGCGAGACTGAGAGTGGGTGCGCGCCTGGCCATTGGGAGCCTATGGGACAGATCGAGGTGGCCCTGCTTATGGGGCCCCAGCCGCTCCTGTCCTGCCAGCAGTTGGGAACTGGAAATGAGAGAGCATGGTGGCGCTGAGTGAGCGGGAGTTTTGGAGAGAGTTTGCATGTGGTCAGCTCTGGGCTCCTAAGCCAGCCCCCAGCTCACATTACACTCTATTTATAACCTCTCTGAGCCATTTCCCCCCCGTGAAAGCAGTTCTCTGGGACCACCTTCTTTTGGCTTCCACCTCTCCCACATTTGACATCTGAGCAGCTGCGAGGGAAGCTCCTCCAGGTCCCAGTGTTTATATGTGCAGGAGACTGGCCGCTAAGGCTCTGGACTGGGATTAGCCAGCTCTGCTCAAAGGCGCGACTCTTAGGGAGTGTGTGAGTGTGGGGGGAAAAAAGAGTTCTAGGATTTCCAGTGAAAAGTCACAGAGCTTGGTGGCCTTTGGGACCATCGTGAAGTCTTCTGCCTGGAAGTCCAGACTTGCATGCCATGGAACACCCCCTCTTTGGCTGCCTGCGCAGCCCGCACGCCACAGCACAAGGCTTGCACCCTTTCTCGCAGTCTTCTCTGGCCCTCCATGGAAGATCTGACCACATGTCCTACCCCGAACTCTCCACATCTTCCTCGTCTTGCATAATCGCGGGATACCCCAACGAGGAGAGCATGTTTGCCAGCCAGCATCACAGGGGGCACCACCACCACCACCATCACCACCATCACCACCACCAGCAGCAGCAGCACCAGGCTCTGCAGAGCAACTGGCACCTCCCGCAGATGTCCTCCCCGCCTAGCGCGGCTCGGCACAGCCTGTGCCTGCAGCCCGACTCGGGAGGGCCTCCGGAGCTGGGGAACAGCCCTCCGGTCCTGTGTTCCAACTCATCCAGTCTGGGTTCCAGCACCCCGACCGGGGCCGCGTGCGCACCAGGGGACTATGGCCGCCAAGCGCTGTCACCCGCGGATGTAGAAAAGAGAAGTGGCAGCAAGAGGAAAAGCGACAGCTCAGGTGAGTGCGGGCAGAGCACCTCTAAGGAGAGTGTTCCCTGGGCTGGGAAGGGGCAGGGATTTGCGAGAAGGTTCTCACAGACAAACTAAGGAATACCTAGCTCTTCCAGTCTCAGTGGCCTGGCCGAATTCGTCCTTGCAGCTTCGGCCCTGTAATTTGGGAGCACGTGTTTCGCTGAGGTTAATATATCTACGTCCAGCCCCTTCAAAGCCCTACAAGACCATAAACTAGTTTTCCAGCGGCGGTGAAAAAAGAGCGAGTGACAGTATGCGAAATCGGTTAAGGAGCATGGCGCTCCATCCACGAGTTGGGAGGGGTGTGAGCCTTGGGATGTTGCATCGGCTGGGCGTTCATGCCTGTGTGCATGCATGCGCTTCTTGGTTTTTCCCTTACAATTTCCCAATTCTGAACAGCTCGAGTTTTCCCATCCTTAACTGGATTTCTAGACTATTGCTCAATATCTTGAACTTTAACTGGGATTTGACAAAATACTCGAAAGAAAAGTTTTATTTTTTTCTTTTTTTAACGTTTCGCTTTCAGAGTTCCGTAAATAGCATTCTACTTAAAATAGTAATAATTTTAAAAAGCATTTAACTTATTTGCCGAAAAAGGCACTATCTAGAAATCTAGAAGTATTCAAGAAATACATCTAAAAATCGTGAATAAATAAATGGATGAGGATTTGAAGAAAGGTCATTCTTGATTAGACTCAGGTGAGGCTATCCTATGGGAAAAAAACAAACAAAAACAAAACAAACAAAAAAATCCCTGAACTTCGAAAGTGGAAAGTAAAAGCCTTCCTTGTTTGAGTAGAGTTTTGAGATGCTCCGGAGAGCACAAGAGCAGCTCGGACAGTGGTGGGAGAAGATGCAGCAGAGTGAACAGCGAAAGTGTGGATTACTTGAGCAGCTAAAGCAAAGGTTTCTCCCCAGTGGTTTCCAGGGCCTGAAAGTTCAGTAGCAAGTGCATTGTGGCAGTTCAGAGAAACTGAGTTTCTAGACAGCACATAACGCCCTTAGCTATAGTTCTCATTATTAAGATGTTTCTCTTTTTCTTCTCCTTCTTCATCCCCTCCTCCTCCTCCTTTTTAATTGCATCTTGCTCTGAAGGAACATGGCAACCTGGGTACATACTTTGGAAGATGTCACTTAACTAAAAAAAAAAAAAGTTTGCATCTATTTAATCTTTTGTGTTAGTCTATGGAGATTTAGGAAATGTGAATCTGGGCATTGGAAATAATGGAAAAGAATGTAGCATGTTAGGCAATTTAGTCCAGGTGTTCTGCAGTGTATGGCAGTAACTGCTGTGTATTTTAAATCATGTTGAAAAATGACAGAAACTTTTCTTGGCCTCCTTGTGGGGTGACCCTTACCAACCTGATGGTTGAACTTTTATTTTCCTAGGTCGGGGATGACTTTTTAATGCTCCACAATGATTAGCTGTGTCTAAGCAATTTACCAGCACTGTCATTGATTTGCAGTGGTTATCTTTAACTACATAGGAAATTCTAAGCTATTGAAAAGATACCAGTGAAAACGTTAGAATGCACTGGGGTTCCCCAGGCTGGGCATTTATGAACTGGAGTGCTTGGATGGCCTCAGCAGGTTGGTAGCTACCACAGCAAGAGCCAGAAGCACTTTTTCTTTCTGCAAGGGGAAACCATGGCCAGCTTCTTAGCTGAATCAATGCCCTAAAGATTATTTATGCACTCGAAGGAGTTTTTGTTGGGCCACAGTTATTTTTAGTTGCAGAAATGGAGAGTAGGACTAAAAAATTTACATCCTTAAGTTATTTTCATAAAAACCGACTTAAAATTGACTAACAGTCGTTTCCATCACATTTACCGATGGAAAATAACCACACAGCAAAGGGAAGCTTGTTTTCATGTTGTGAATCTCATTTTAGAACATAGAAACAAGCAAACAGAATAGAAATTTGTGTCAACCGGGGGTGTAGTAACGCTTGACAAGAACGGGAAGTATGATCATTAGCAAGGATACTATCATGGGGACCAACGTAGAAAGAATGTTTCCATTGATAGGCCATCACAGGCAAGCATCAGTTGTCTTGGTACACTTTGAAAATAAAATCTATATGTTCAATCTCTGAGTTAACATCGATTAGATCATAGGTAAGTTTAACTCCAAGCCATCTATCGCCTTTTTCAGTGAACATTCAACTGAAGATCAAGTCATCTGATACTCTTGTGTAAACATTTTGACTTACTAGAGGATAAAGTAACATAGAAAATAGTTATAATACTGTTCTTTTATCAACGCATAAGCCTCATTAGGCCCAGCTCGATTATTTCAACATAATTAACAAATGTCTGGTAAATTATATTGTACACTCTGAGATTTAGGACTATATTAGGTAAATATTACACCAATCAGAGTAGCAACAACATATATTTAGGCATTACAATCACTGTGTATTTACAGTTGAGAGTATTTACACTGCTTCACATTATGGCAATATTGATATCAAGTCTGCATATACCTGTTGCTAATAGGAGTGCAGTTGCTAATAACTAAGTTCATTTCTAATGGAAATTTAAACACTAGGAAATAGTGCTAAACAACCAAATTGTGTATAAACCTTACATTTTTATCCATTGTAAATAATGCAACAACTTCAATATATAACACTGTCCAGTTTTTCTGTTTGGAAAACAAGTATGAAAGCACACTAATATAAACCCCATACGCTTACCAATATAAAATAAAATACTTATAGACTTTAGCCTTCCTTTATAGTTAATTAACAATTAACTGTACAATTCAATTTTAATAGAAAATTATGACATTGTCATTGCATGCGCTAAACATTTTTGGACCATTGCACCAGTTAGCCTTTCCAGTAATGTTAGTAAAGCCAACATCTGCCATACCTTCAAAGGGACTCTTAAAGTTCAAAACTTTACAGCTGTGCTTAAAACAATCAGGACAAACCAGGTGATTCAGAAAAAATATATATACTGTGAATTCCTTGGCTTTAATTATACCAAGCAATATAGTACTAGGCATAAATTGCTCAATTTTGTTAAACTAGCCATGTTCACTTAACCTAACCAGCTTTTATGCAGTTAATATACACCATTAATGTGTACATATTCTCTATTCAGTGCAATTTAATTTAAAAATCTTACCCTTTTTATTTTAAGGAATAATTTTATACCCATACTCCTGTAAAAAAGGTAGTGAATAACTTGGGTATGTAGATTTTACTAGGTTTTGAATCATATTAGATTTTTTAAAAATTTACAAATTTCTATTATAATACAAAATAGAATGCGAGTCCTTGTGTGTGACTATATAGAATAAAATTGCTGCATCTAATACATACTACAAGCTAACCTCAGAATAATGCTACTTCTGCCTAACTCTGCCATTACAGTGTGATATTTCCTGGATATTCCAATAATCATGATTTCTGAAGACAAACAACTCTGTTATTCATTTCTGTGTTGCTGGATTATAACTTTTCATATTTTCTTTAGAATAAAATACAATCTTTAGGATCTCAGATGTCTAGGGGAATTCAGAGCAGTTTAAATATATCTAAACTATAGTATATAAAATGACATCGTGGAACTTTCTACAGTGTTAATTTTAGATGAGACCATTCTTTAATGGTGACCTGACTTTAAAAAAACAAATGTAGTTATCATTGACCTACATGAGTCGCCTTAGTTAATAACTCTCAATGTCAGATCAGAAGTTCCTTCTAAGTCCAGTGTTTAAAGCTTGCAAGTGAGCAGAGAAGTGGAAGTTTCAAGTAAAAATTGGAATTGATTTCAGTTCCCTGCACATCCGTTTATTTATTTTTTTTGTTCATTTTAAAAGAGAGCAGTCAATGAGAGAAATGGTGGCATATTTCACCTACATTAAATCCTGACATTATGTATGTGAACATTCGTATTTATTTTATAGTAATCATCAGTAAAAACCATTATGTTGATAACCCCATAAGCAAATTTCAAGCAGTAAAAGAAAAAAAGTATCATCCTACACATTTTCCTTCAGTATTTGGAAAAACTTCATCTTGGTGCTAGAGAGTATAACTTATATTTCTGATAAGGCTTAATCATTCTGATAAATTAATTTTGAGTGAAAATTAAATAGAAAATGAGCCATTTTTGTCATACCTGGAGAAATTTGGAAGAAAATTCTATACAAAATGGAAACTAACTTTGTTCACTTGAAAGATGTCAGTCTATGAATGAATAACTGAATGGGCATACTTTTAGCTTTTTAATTTCAGATAGAAGTAATTTTATTTACTAGAATCTAAATATAGTTATATTTAGACTGTATTCCCTCTCTTAATTTAAATATCTAATTTGAGAAAGTATAATTTTGAGCATTGCGGTACAAGTTCCAAATATCTGTCTGCTTAATGAAAGGGTGGAAACATTGATTTATTAGAAAATAAGTTATGTGTAAGAATGTACTGACATTTTCTGGGGTAATATTTGTAATTGATGTCTCTCTCATTCATATTGTTTATAGTTCAAATAATTGTCAACTTCCTTCACATTCCCCAATTTGTCATGGTACTTTCTATAATAATCAAATATGTTTTTAGCAAATTTATCACGGAAAACAAAATTATCAGCACTAACCACATTCCTCGTTGATTATAATCATAGCACCAAAAGCGTCAATTTTTAGCTAGCCAGTTAAATTTCATTTCCTTGGGCACGTGGTATTATGGATTTTTTCCAGTGATTATAACTATTTTTAAGAAAAGAGAAAAAAATACAAACCATAATGTTAGTCCTCAAGTTTGAAACCCAAATAAATAAGAGCTATTTTTATGTAACTTATTTATGCCATGTCACATACTGTTTGTATATTTCAGTCACTGTCATAGTTTTGAGTTACTGAAACTCATGTTTAAAGTACATAAAGATGACTAAGCTCTGAGTTTTTTTTTTCATTATTGTCATGCGATTCTCATGGATGTTGCTTTGAGTAAGTGTATTGAATTAAAGCCCT